CTGCAGCGAGTTCTGTTCGTCGAGGGGGAGTTTGTTCTGCTTGGTGTTTGTATCTTCCGTACGGCAGTTTTCCTTCCTTTCGTGGCGGTTTCCGCAATTGCAGCGCTTCGCGGGTCTGTGTACACCCCCGCACACTCCTCCCCCGGCTGCCCTCGTCTGCAGCGTGACGTCAGGCCTGGGACAGCTCGCCAGGCAGGCCAGTGGAGCCCTGGGGAGCAGCTGCTCTCGCTAGCACTTCGGAGATGGCTTCTGGTCTTGCGAACAAACTGAGTTGCTTTGCTTTAATTGGTGCCCCCCCGTGCGCCTGCACTCTAAACCACGGACCACCGCTAGGAGAGTTGCTAGAGAATCTGATTTTATCCCGGACGTTTCCCGTGCAGTGTTGAAGTGGGCGCCGGGTTTCTGTCCGTGAAGGTTGATGCGCACCGTGGCGGAGCTCGGCGGACCGGAGCGCTTGCTGTCCGACAGCGTCGCCATCTGACCGACCGGCGGCTGCTGACCTACTTTTCGTGTGGGTCACACAAGACAGCTGCAGAGCTCCAGTCGAGTGCGGATTGACGCACAGAAATGATCTCCGCTTCTTAAAAAACCGCTTATTTTACGGCCACCCGTAGCGATGGGCGTTTTCACACATGGGACCAAATTCAGACCGTTTGCAACCCAAATAAAGCAAATTTAACCCCTCGGCTACAACTCTCTAGTCGTACCGGTCTGCACCTCAGGATCTGTGAAAGTACCTGGGTAGGACTGGTTTTAAAGGCGAGGGAAAGTTATAAACAGAATCCAATAAAAGTCTAAGAATGTGTGTAAGCCTGAAAGCGAGTTTGTCATTGTATCTTATGTAAAGGAAATGAATAGACAATTACGTGGCATTAATTCTAAAAGCCTTCTGCGGGTTTAGTACCGAGATCGAAAACTTGTTGAAGTTCGCTTGACGGAATGGGGATATTGAAAAGGATGAGCTTGAGTTTCTGTTCAACAACGACTGAGTTCAACCTGTAATTTATACTTATCCAAAATATTCAGAAAGAAACAGTCCACCTGATGTCCCACTGAGCCTTTGACTGGACCTCTGTCCAAATCTGTCCAGATTCTTATTAAAAACCTAGTTTATAAGATGTGTTCCCATCTCGGAGAGACAGCTGATTTTCTCAACAAGCCACAGGTGTTAATATGAGCTCCTGATCTGTTTTTATGCGCAGTGGATGTGTCAAGTCTTGACACCAGTATTCCCCATCAGAACGGTATGGATGCTTTGAGCCGTGTGCATAATTGGGGAATTCCCACCAATTAAAGCTGCTAATCCGGACGGAGCTGGTTTATAGAAAGGGTTCGCTTGAGCCGCGCTCCTCTGGCGCGTCAAATACCCGTGCTGCAACGTCTAGAATAAAGCCACCCCTTTAAACAATAACGCAAAGTTACATTTATCAGTTGGAACAAATGTAGGTTTTTAAAATTTCATTTGATGTTGCTCCGGAGAACAACTGCGAAAGCCGTCTAGCCCGTCTGGAAGTTACTGTAGCAGTTAATGGATCGGAAGCTCTTATCCAGACGTTTCCCGAAAGAAGACAGGGCATCATCTTCAACAGCTCGTGCCCTCCTCCCTCTGTTGTGGAAAGAGCTGTGTCCACGTGTGTCCGTGTGGTCTGGGCTGTCTGTGTCGCTGCCCTTGAGGAGTTTGAATACTCGAGTGAGGTCTCCGTTCTCCACTACTGTTCCAGTTTCTTCAGCCCCTTGAGATCTGGAGTGTATCTGGTTGTTCCTCCCTGGACTGACTCCAGGGCAGCAGGCTCTTGTCTATAGAGTGCTGACCAGAACTGCAGCCAGCTCTCTACCAGTGAGCTCTTACTAGTGTGTAAACAGTTTCTGACACAGCCTGCCCTGGCGTTTCCCTGCACTGTCCAGGTGGGCAGGTGTCAAAAAGACTTGGGTTTATGTTCGTAGGAAAAAGAGAAGAAGCAACTTCTTTTGTGTTCTTAGTTGTTCGTGGCCGGTGGTTTTGCTTTTATTACGCTGATTATCTGTGCTAGTCCTGTGGACATGAGAGACTCGAGCGCGTGTGCCTGCGCAGGATACGCTCTTCAGGAACGCTCTCCTGCTCCGGAGCTCTGTGTCCCTCGCTCTCGGGGAGCTGGTATTGTTTCCTCTCGTGTGTGGGCGCTGTGCGGGGCAGGTGGGCCTCTCTGCAGCCCGGAGCCTCACTGCCCTGTGCCCTGTGCCCCCGCAGGAAGATGTTTGGGTTCCACAAGCCGAAGATGTACCGCAGTCTCCTGGGCTGCTGCATCTGCCGGGCCAAGTCCTCCAGCTCCCGCTTCACGGACAGCCAGCGCTACGAGAGGGACTTCCGCAGCTGCTTCGGGTAAGAGCTCCGG